CGGGGAGGAGCACTGGGGCCTAGCAGCGGCCTATGCCCGCGGGGTCCGGTTCTCACAGCGGGCCGGGGGAGCGCAGGAGCGGTACATCCTTTGGGCTGAGGGCCTACGGAACCTGGCTTCTCTCCCCCCGGTCCCCCAACGTCCTCTGCCATGGGCTCTCATCGCAGAGGAGGAAGAGGAGCGGGCCCAGAGGAGCCCTCCCTGCCTGCAAGGGCTGCACAGCAGCGCGGTGTCCTGTCGCAGTCGCCATCCCCTGCCCCTCCACAGGCACTGCTTTGCTCTCCACAGCGGAGGTGGGTTTCTCGTTAAGGGGAGGGTGATGTTTTTTTAGCAAGGCAAAAATTATTCCCCACCAAAAAAAAAAATAAGTGTCTCTGGTTGTAAAGAATAAGGTGTTAATCAAGGGGGAGTTACCTTGTGTTTTGTCATAAATGCGAGATTAAGTTTTCTTCATCTAATCAAACCCATGCATGTTGCATCAGGATAATAAACGTAGCCAAAAAAACCGACCTAATTTCCCCAGACAAACATAGATAACAATTTAAGGACTCGTTTGCTTTGGATAAAAAGCCATGAAGAGCTGTGAACCACATCCTTTGTATTTCACACCTAATGATAAAATAACCAGCCGTTTTTGGGTGCAGAACAGTCATTTTAAAAAGGTACTGGCAAATGTGTATTCTAAAAATACATGTCATACTTGGGAGGCATCATTTGTAGTCACCACCGTCTTCCCAAATGTTGCAGTTGTTGGGGTATTCTTCCTGCCTGTACAGAATGTTTGCTAAAAATACAGTCTTTGCTTTCCAAATTCAAGTAAGTTTTGATAGCAGGCAAGGGCATTGTAGCCCTTAATCCAGAAGCACCAGTCCTGTACAATGAAGTCTGCACTGTAAATCTGGACTACGGACTCTTCTTTATGGTGATCTGGTTGAAAGTCTAGTCGCTGCTATAACGTAAATAATAAAAAGAAAACTTATTGAGTAGTATTTCCACACCACTCATTTTGTCATAAGTTAGATACACTTTATCTCCTGTTAAAGAATGAACAGTGCAGTGCTGCTGTGTGGTGCTCCACAGAGCTGCAAGGACACGTTCAGCTGTAGTTTGAGAAGCAGTCACATAGTAAACCAAGAGAAACCCCGAGATAGATAAAACATTTCTCAAATACTGCAGGAATTCCAGGTGGGAGAGACTTGCAGAATAGCTCCAAATATTTTAGAAATCCAGTTACCTTGTGCAACCTCACAGACAGCTCGTCTTGGTGACAGTAAAACACATAGCGCTTCTTAGAAGAACCCAGCAGTGGAGGCATTGGAAAGTTTCCAGAAGAGGAAGACAATTTGTTCTTGTGAAATGTCAGGTTTGGTGTCACTGCACCCCTGACGTCTACCTGATGGTTCAGAAGTGTTGACGCTTAACGACGTGATCTGGATAATACTTCTACTCCCTGGAAACAGTTGGAAGGGCTTATGCCACAGACACCTGCATCTCACTGCAATACCCATTTCTTGCCTGTTGTCACATACACGAATTAAATGAAGACTGCAAGAGCCATTTTTTTTCCTCTTTGTTTATTAGTGAATGACAGAAGCAAAACGTTCACAAGCATCCCTCCCCGTGAACTGGAGAAAGCATTAGATAAAGCAATAAACTGGAGCAAATCATTTATTTACATCTGTTTTAACAAGTTTCTATTTGTAAACTGTTGATACAAAGCATAAAAGCTGTACCTACAGTTTACCTAACTACTTCAGTTAAAGAGCTCAAGGTGCAAAGACAAAAAAAAAAGAACAGCATGCCTCACTGCCTGCATTTATTAACTTAAAGTAAACAACGATAACATTTACTCTGCATTTAACTCTATCACATGAGATTAGAACTATTCAGAATGTGTTGAATTATTTTGATGAGTTATCAGCTGGCTCTGCTCAACGGAGATTTCCCCAGGAGCATCCAGAGCTGCTGCCCGTTGCTCTTCAGCAAGTGTGGTGGATTTTGACTCACCAGCAGGTGCTCTCACTTGAGGAACTGCTGGCACTTCCAGCATTTGAAACAACTGCTGTCTTCTGTGGTACTGGGCCTTTTTCCTCCTAAGCCATTCCACTATTTCCCTTTTATAACATATGGTAAGGGTTATTCCAAAAATACACAGATAAAGAATACTAAGTAGTGCTACTATTGCTTTTCCCCTGTGAAAAGTATTCCTGGCTGGAGCGGGTCCACTATCAACGCTCCCTCCGAATCCTGCCCATTCACAGTACGGGGGAGCCCAGCCATACCTGCAGTGGCAGTTCTTAAGATTGTTACACACTCCTCTGCCGTGACACTTTGTGACACTACAGTCATAGTTCAGCACCGAGATGTTGGTACATGTCCTGTTGATACAAAGCCTACCACTACCACATGGCGTGCCATCTTCCACAGCCCCCACATCAGCCACCGGCATCCCCACGTGATAGTCGAGACCCCAGCACTTCTTATTGCCAACAGGGGTTTGGACCAGCGTTACATGGTTCTGCAAGAAAGGCAGTTTGTGTATGTTTACACACTGGATCCTACCGCATAAGACATTCTCAATATTGCATTTAGTAAAATGGATATTGTCACGAATACCACAATTCCCAAAGCGGTCACCTCGAGTATTCACTGCTTTGAAGCAATCTAAAGGAGCGGCCTTGGCTTGTTTGCCAAAGAGTTTCTTGCACTGTTTACTGAGGGAAGAACATTTTCCTCGATAGCAATAAGCATCTCCTTTGCAAGGGGCTCCATCCTGGATGTACACATCTGCTGGGCACTGAGGAGAAGTCCCATTGCAGTACTCTGGCAGGTCACACTCATCAGTACTTGCTCTGCAGAGCGTGCCCGCTTGAAGAACCTGACATCTCTTGCAGCATTTTCCAGAAGCACATACTGAATCTGCAGTAAGTGTACAGTCAGGGTGACAGCAGCGATCCTTTCTGCAGTCTGATTCTGAACCACAGTCACATTGCTCTCCTCTTTCTACTATCTTATTCCCACAGTACTCACGCCTCGTGGTGTAGAAAGTGCCGGGTGCTGGTGGCCTACGAAGGCAGTTGGCACCATGTGCAAGCAGGTCAAAGTAGTCTTTGTAACTGCAGTCACTGAACGCATCGGTGTCGACATCAGTTTCCCACATAATGCATTTCTTTCGTCTGCATTTACAGCCTGGTTCATCGTGGTCCATCCCAAGAACATGGCCCAGCTCATGGACAAATGTGGTGATAACTGAGGACAACTTCCTATTAGTGAAGGAAGCAACTGCTGATGACCACTGGTTGTCACATATGGATCCTAGAAATGCTAATCCCAGAGACCTTCCGAAGTTCTGAAATGCAAGTAACTGAGCAACATCATGGCGTATCCGCAGAGACAGGTCCGACCTTCGCCATTTGTTAAAGCTGTCAAGTACCTTGTTGATAGAGTTAGTAATGTTTATAAGGTTGCCTTTGGTCCAGATCTCCAATCCCACAAGAAAAAGCCGAACAGAAAGCTGTTCATACAGAGAGTCCCCAATGTTGATGATTTCTATGACTTGCCTCAAGACTTCAGATTCGTTCCTGCCCGACTTCACAAACCGCACGTTGTCTACGACCACTACCATCTTCACGTACCTGGTGTGTGTCCACCACTCCTTCAGCTCCTCCTCCTCCGCTCTGTGGTGGGCCTTGAACCAGGGCAGCACAGCCTTTTGGTGCTGCAGCTCCTCTGGGGTCAGCCCGCAGGTGGGGACCGCAGGGTCGCTGGCTGCCTCCATGTGGGAGAGGATGTGCCTGTAGGCCGGATCATTGGGAACGGGCTCAATCTCGTAGGTTCTGCCCTCCACCCAGAGCACGCCACGGAGGCCTCTGCCACAGGTGCTGAGGGCCACCAGGGAGCCGGGGCTTCCCTGCACCTCACCCTGGTAGAAGCAGTTGTCCTGCACAATGGGGTGCTCCTGCCAGCGGGCCCCATCCTTGCCATAGGTGACCAAGGTGAAGGGGTGGGAGACCAGGCCCCGTCGAGGCCACAGGCGCAGCACCCGTGGCCGCCTCTCCACCTCCAGCCGGTAGGAGACGGCCAGGGGGTTGGTGTCAGCCCGGGGGCTCAACTGCCGCGGCACCGTCACCCATGTGGCAGTGACACGCAGCTCCCCAGACAGGCCCCCCAGGGCGGCAGGGCACCCCACCAGGCCCAACAGCACCAGCACGTCCCAAATGTGTAAGTTCTTGGACTGGATTACCTTTAGCAGTGTGTAAAGTATGCGATGATTTCAGTTGCAAAGACCTCCAACTGCCCCTGCTGGGGAGGGCCGCAGCCAGGGCGAAGTGGCAGCATCACAGCTCCCTTCGCCTTCCCCCTGTGGAAACGGTACCCCACTGCCTGGGGGTACATCTCAGAGGGCTGCAAGGGCACCTTGAGACATCCATCCCCTGCTCTTTGAGCATGTATAAAGCTCTTGTGGGGAGCTACAAATAAATGAGCCTGCCACAAGCACACCTCCACTTTTTATAATCTTAATCTTTAAATTAATGGGCGTTTTTTCTGCGCAGACATAGCCAGGAGGGGTGTCAGCTGAGCTTCACACTCCTTGTCATGGATTTTCGTGTTGAGCAAAGGTATCATTCGGTTGGACCACAAGGGGGAAATTCTGTTTTAATAGCTCAAAGGCTGGCTTTTGCTGTGTTCGCTTTTTTATTAAAGGATCATTAGTGAGTGGGAATCAGGAACAGACTACTTCAGCTCAAAAGAATATTTGGAAGAGCTTAAGGTCTGAAATGAAAAAGTACAGAAATACTCACCCCCTAGCCGGTTACTAAGACATCACACTGCTCGGTGCCCTTTCTTAGTGTGCGCCTTACTATAGCTACTACAGCTGTACACGCACACGCCAAGAAAAAAGGTGGAAACAGGGAAGAATTCACTTCCACTAAGTTCAATAATAGAGGCAAACTAAGAGCATCAACTATAAAAGCATAAAGCCTATCTATGCCACAGCTGCTGCACACCTACAGCAATGTGCCTTAGTTACAGACATCACTGGTGCAACAGCTGTTGTCACAGCCTTTCTAAAGCTTTGTGCTTGCAGAGCACTGGGAAGAGAAAGCTGACAGGTACATCCGCCACTTGGCTGCTATCCCTGTTTTAGTGAACAGCTCCATCAAGACACGGCTAAAAGACAGTGATCTGCGTTGTGGTAAGACAGGATGTCCTTTGTAGCACAGCTACGCACGCTGGTTTTTGGCACATAGTGCTGGGATTCAACACAGCCAGAACCATTAATCTTTTGGAACTCTTCACAGCTTTCTTTTCAGCACTGAAAGCAAGTCTGGGATGAAGTCCAACCTGCTATGGCCTTTATCTTCCTGAGCTGCAGGAGGTGCACCCCTCCCAGCACCCCACCTCAGGGATCCTGTCTTTCGACACCACGTTTGGGTGCTGACCATCACCCTGGCATGGGCAGCAACACTTCAGATTTCAAACTGCCTGAGACAGACACTGTAGTGAGAGGAGAAGCTGGTGGAGTGCTCAGAGCCTCCCTTCGCTGCTTCCTGCCCCAAGGTCCTAAGTGGGCTGGTACATTGAGCTGGGCCTCACCAAGAGCTGTGGAGGTTACCAACAGCTGTCCAAAGGGGCTTCAGATTCTGTGAACTGGCACCTTGGTCATTCACTGCAGGTATGGCCAGCATTAGTACACCTATACACCTTGTAATGCAGTACCTCAGATTAAAGGAACTAAAACAGGATTTTTTCCTGCTTCTACTAGTACCTTTCTAGATGTCCGTAACTGTATAGTTTGAAATTCGTTATTGCTTTACTTAAAAGTGAACAAACTTGTGACCTGTGTTAGCGTTAGATATATTTTCTTACTAGTTTTAGTTTTAAAATTATAGAAACTGCTTTCTGTGAAGTCTTTAATGCACAGTTAGTTGTTGAATAACATGTATTCACCATTTTTCTCACATGAACCTCCATGTCTCAAAATAAAGCTAATCTCTCCCCTTTCCCTTGTCCCCTCTATTGCCTGTAACCTTCTAACCTTGCTGCGAGTACAGCTTGCTTTGACAACCACCACGTACTGACTGTCCAAATGGCACCTAACTTTCTTCACCAGGAAAAGGTGACCAAAATGCAGAGTATGAGGGGGCAGAACAGCAAAGAGGAATGGGTGAGAATAACACATAGCCTGGTCAGACCTGACTTAGTGAAAGGTTGAAAAAGGGAGGATTTCTGCTGCACCTAGACACCATTGGCTTTACACAGCGAATTGAGGCAGCGAGGCTGCCCCTCTTCCTACATCTGCCTAGATTTTTGCTCATATATGTGTGTGTGTATATATATATATAAAAGCACATGTATATACAAGTATGTATATCTTCACCATATGTATGCATATGTGTTCATGTGCATACACACATTTATATGGACTTTCAGACTCTCAGGAGGATGTTTCTAATAGAGTTCTAGGTCATTCTTAGCTCCTTCTACCCCTGATTTAGGCCAAGAAAAGCCATTCTGACATCTGAATGGTTATTATCTAAGTGCAAAAGTAGACGTAGCTCTCCTGTACAAACAAATCTCTTCTTTATGCAAAAGAAAGTCACACACGGGGCAAATTTCAGAACTGCCTGCTTATTTCCCTTTCATCTATAAGCTTTACAAACACTGAAGGTCCTTCAAAGGACTTTGGACTTCAGCAGTTGGGCTCCAAACCAAAAGACAGTGTATAAATACCAGAGAGAAAACACTTAGATTCTCATACACTGAAAAACTTTACTGTCTAGAAGATAGCCATTTAACAGCTTTCTGACAGTAAACTACTTGGAGTTTAACAGTAATATCTGTCATTCAAGTTAATACCAAAGCTCACTTAATTGATAAAATTATTTTATAACATCTTGCCAGGAAGCAACAGGGTCAGATGTTTCAGTCTCTCGTTCCCTCATGTGGTAAATCTTAGGCATTGAAGGACAGCTACTAAGAAATCGCCACACTCATTGGTAACATTCCTTACTGCTTTACGATAGAATTACCTCAGGAAAAGATCGTTCCCCTGGAAGAGGGTTATATTTGAATGCATCGATTCACACATGAAAGCCATTTTCTACCCTCAATAGCTTAGCTGCTGGTACTTGAACTCAGATGGGAACAGAAGTCCATCCTTTTTAATGCCCTCTGACACTAGCCAGAACCAGACACTTCTGCAGAAAGCAAGGCTGTTAAGAGATGCAGAAATGCTCCTTCAAGTCCTACCCTCATCTCAGATTCTGAGCATGGAGTATAATGATTCAGCCTAAATGGAACTCCAGCTTCATTGAATTGTCCTCCTATTCTTGTACTACAGGACAGAACAAGAGCTCTCTACTTTCCCACTCACTTTGCAGTACTCTGTTTTATAAAGTCTCAATATTCATCTTTTCTTTCCTAAAGTCTTGGTCTTCCCATGGGCATCACAGGAGAAACTTTCTCCTACTAAGTTTATTGCCCTTCTTCAAACCCCTATACTTCAGGATAATTCTTTTTCAGCTATTGAGCTGTACAACACACTTTATTGCAGGTGACTGATAGAATACTTTGCTCATACTGTGTGTTCTAGCATCCATTCTGGACCTCAATCGTACTTGCCTTCAGCAATAAGCAAGATATCTTTCTTCTGCTAATAATGTTAAATCTTTCCCTGGTACATGATTAGGTAATTTTTCTCCCTCAAAAAAAACCCAAACCCAAAATAACCCCCCCCAAAAAAACCCCACACAACAACAAAGGAAACAAAGAAAGAAATCCCAAACACAATACCTTAGATCTTCATTATGCTGCACTCCAGTCATCTTTCCTGCTCAAGTTTTTCCAGATAGCATACAGGTTCTCATCAATATGAATAACTACAGAGAAATTCAGCTCCTTTAATGGCCATTTCCAAGGACTTTATTCTGAGCATCAAACATTCAGCAAAGACTCTTGAGGTTCCCCATCACCCCTGCCTCATTTCTGGAGATCCCCCTTTCCATCATGGGGGTGCATGAGATGAAGGCTTTGGTGCCTCCTGAGCTCCTTGTTCTCAGAGGAATTTCTTTAATACAATAAAGAATCAACACCCTTTTAAGTGTATTCACACTACCTTGTAATTATTGAACATTGAATAATTAGCTGTGTCTTTTTTTGAGCATCCCAGAATAACTACTTTGGAAAGGGCGAATGTCAGGAGGAAGGAGCCAGGCTCTGCTCTGGGATGGCCAATGCCAGGACAAGGGGCAATGGTCCCAAGCTGGAGCACAGGAGGTTCAAGCTGAAGATGAGGACAAACTTTGTCAGTGTGAGGGTCCAGAGCATGGCCCAGGCTGCCCAGAGAGGTTGTGGAGTCTCCTTGTGTGGAGACACCCAAAGCCCTGGCCGTGTTCCTGTGTGACTGCTCTGGTGATCCTGCTCTGGAGGGGTTGCACTGGGGGAGCTTTCCAGGTCCCTTCCAACTCCTGATATTCTGTGATTCTGTGACAACCTCAAAATAAATTTGACACAGCTACCTAAGCATATTTTAAGTCTTCTTTCCTATCAACATTTTGTGTGCTATGCAGACCTTTTTGTTGCTTGCTGCAGTTTACAAGCAAGCAGGGATCAGGTGTGAAAAGAAAGCAATCTATTTCAAGGATTGCTCCATTATTTCAATTAAAAAAATCCAAGCCATGTGTCATTTCTTTGCAATGAATAAAAAAATAAAATAAAAAGGTCTGTCTAGGCAACATGCTTAAATAGCAAAATGTATAGCTGTCAGTGGTATTTCTCTTCCAGTGCCCTACCTCCTCAGGTCTAAAAGGCAGATGTCTAACCAAGGTGATCTGTGCTAGAAAGTGCTAGAAGCACAGAGGAAGAGAAGTAATTGATCTATTTGAGTTACAGTGAGAAAAGGAGAAATATAAACAGCTTCACTGAGTGTGCAACAGCAGGACTTTTTAGCCTGGTTTATGTCATCATAAATCTCTCACAGAACACTAGCTTTTATAAGAAAGGACCAGCTTAGCCATTAAGCAAAATGAGTGCCCAAGAACATTTAGAGACTGAGAGCAGTTTGACATCTAATTGCATGGATCTGAGCCTCCAGTTACCAAATCTTTTATCTGTATTCCAAGCATACTAAAGGCACAGCAATTTATAGCAGGCAGCCTAAAACCTTCAGTTGAACTTTTCTTCCTCAGAATAGCACACTATATTCCAACGTCGAAGCAAAAAAATGCTGCCAGTACATATGGCATTCTAGCTACTAACAACGTAAGTCTTTAAGAAAGGCATTCCAGCAACCAGGAGGTTTATTTGCCAACAACTCAGATTTTTAATTTTTTTTTTTAAATATATAAAAGCTTTCTTTTTACATAAGAAACCAAGACACAGGGGATGCAAGACTTTGTAAAGATTCAGGAGGCTGCAAAATACGTCCATATAAAAACCATTCTCAGAAGCCAACGTTCAAAATAAGATGGACACTGAAAACACCTTCGTTGAGGCAGCTCACATCCTGACATTATTAACATTTGCGTGACAGGTTTCTACAGAAAAAGCTGTAACAGGGATTTCAATCCCTGAATCAGTCTCAGTGGAAGAGCTTAAACATCAAGAAAGGGGAGCAAGAACTTCCTGTCTTCCAGATCCTGCCTAATCCAGGTGTGCGACAACTTCTCCTCTCACTGGAGTCTCATCCGTTTTTCAGGTGGTCCTTTAACACCAGCACTCTGCTGAGCATTCTTTACAGTCTCTTTCTCCTCTGGCTTGACAGCTTCAGGGACTGGTTCCGGTTCCTTCTTGATTTGATCCACTTAAGAATCAACAGCAAAAGAAAGTTAAACCTCCAACTTTTATTCCTAAAATACTGTTCAGAGTACTTAGAAAATACGGTTGATATCAACGGGGCAAAACTAATTTCAAAGGTATAAGAATAACCAAGGATTAAATTCATACCTGTATGGGTAAAAAAGTAGAACAGATTGAACAGACAGTTCATGCTTTTCCTGTTCTGAGGTTCCTTATAATCAACTCAAAGCTTTCTGGAGCTTGTAGTACCATGCAAAAACCACTAAGATGCTGGACTGATCAAACTGTTCCCTCATTTCACCCTCCTCCTACTTACAAAGACCACTTCCTGCACTTGGACCTTCAAGCAACACAGCTTTGCAGACACAAGGGGCAGGAGTAGAACACACATTTTTTCACTTTCACTCTAGCTGTTTTCTGGTACTCTGCACAATTGGACAATGCCAGAGTTTCGAACCACCTCAATAGCAGCAGCAAGGAGCTCATATGGCAACTGGAAAGCACTGCTATACAGAGTCTATTTGTTAAGTCTTGTGGGAATATTAGAGTTTTACCTGGGATAGGCTTTTCTCCAGGCTTTTGCTGTAGAGGAGGAAGAAAAAAAAAATAAATCAGTGGAACCAAAGTCAAAATTCTTAACCCTTCCAACTATTCACTTAGGAATATAAAGCAAGCAATGCACCCTTATACGTAAGAGTTGAGGGTAGAAGGGATCACTAAATACATTTTAGACAAAATCCACTGAATGTTTTATAACATCCAGTTTTCCTTAGACAACTGAAAAGCACTAAAGCAAAAAATACATAGCATATCTGAGGAGTACACAGTTTTGTGAGATACAGTAAACAGTTGCCTTGGCTCCCAAACCGAAGACCTGGCAGAACCAAAAGGCTACTACAGATGATCAGAAGTAATCATAACTCCACAGAATGCCAAGAATTTCCACAGTAATTAATCAGCCTCCAGAACAATGGAGCAACCAAAACGAAACAGCTGTTGTGGCTTGACTGAGCTCACAAAGCAGGAAACTGGAAGCAGCAGCACAATCTGATACCTGATAAGAACAGACCTTTTGTGATTAAAGAATCTGTAATAATAAATTTCACCCTTGTAGCTTGCCACGGTCTTAATGACTCCTGCAATTACAAAGGGGAATCCTGCACTCCAACCAGAGCCTTCAATTTAGAATTTATTGTTTAATCCACGTTACCATTGCAGAAAGCACACAAAATTCCCATTCAGTTTCAGCTGTTCAAATACTTACGGCCACCTTTAAGTTCTAAGTAAGTTATCGTAATACTATGGCTTAGAAGTGTCATACCTGAACAAATTTGGGTGGAAACTTTTGTCTTAGGTCTAAAAGCAAAGCATCTACCCGTTGCCTTTGGAAAATAGAACTTATTTCTTCTTTCTTCTTGGCTTTTGGTTTAGCTTTCTCTGCAAGGCACAGAAACATAAGAGAAAGTAATATATTAAAAGTTCTGTTCTCCAAGGAGCTCTCTGTTGTATGACAAATTGGTATTCGTCTCTCGTCTAAACTTCAGCTACATTTTCCCTTCGATATCAGTTATTTTTTTTCTGAAAGACAGATTAAGGATGATTCCTACCTCCTGACAAACTGCTCTGGTTTCTGAAAATGTCCTTTGGACTCCAGTGGGTTTAAGGGTTGCCCACTTTGTTGACACATGGCTCACCATTTGTATCTCCCACCCATGCCTCAGTGTTCCTCCCCACCAGCACAGAAGAGTAAGATTCCCTCCACCTGATAGGGAGCACTAACTTACCCTTACCCAAGTGTCAGACAGCGGACACTTAACCTCATCTCTACACCATCACTGTGCACTGCCTCAAGTTTTCACCTACATTACCTTCCCTCCCCCAAAGTACACAGGAACAACTAGGAATCGTACCTCGTTCTTCTTGGTCTTTGAAATGCCACCAGTAGCCCTTGGATGGGTGATAGCGACAGTAGGACATAGCTTCTTCAAAAGCAGACTGAATCCCGTGCACTGCAGTGAGCTTTCAGAACAAGAGCATAAGGCAGCGTTCAGAATTTAAGGTGAAAATACAGTATACATTTTTGAAAGCAGGGATTTTAAAAGTAGTATTCTAAATTCATTTTTGTTCTGGAAAGGGAACTTGGAACATCTAGTTTTGGATTAAGAATGTTGTCTCTTGAACAGGTTCTTATGAGACCTTTTCTGAATTGCTTTTCTAAACTGACAGCAAAAATCTTGCAAAAGCAGTAGTTCACTAGATCAAAACAAACCCAAGTATCCAATTTAAGAAGAAATACCACATTAAATGAAGCTTATGTTTTCAAGTTAATGAGAAATATTACATTACCTTGACATCCCAAAGCAAGCTTCTCTGAATATGGATGTAATTACTATTTCATATGTATTCTGTAATTTTTTATTATTCGAACCTCATGTTGTTCTGCCAATTGTGTAGCTAGTTATTCTGATCCTTCATCTTTAAACAACACATCCTGCTTTTTGGACCATATTGCACTCTCCCAGGATCTTTCACTTCCATGCAGGATGCACACCATATTAACCAGTCGGGTTTAAGTTACTGTATACTACACAAGATCTTCCCTCAAAACAGTGAGGGAGGGATTAAAACAGCCTGGGTAACAACCAGAAGTAAAAGCAGACACAAAGTGATAGACATTCAATGCACAGAACACTTACAACTCTGGAGTTAATGACAGACCCTAAGTCCGGTGCCTGATAAATCACTCCAGCAATAATATAGTAGTCAGCCAATGGAATAGCTGTGGAGAGAAAAGAAAAAAAAGCAGGATCAGTTTAAAACTCTGGCTGCAGCCTGTATTTGTTGCTGAATTTCAGTAGCAACAGCAGAAATTGCAATATTCATCTCATCATCAAAATGTCTAGTTTTAACTTTTTCCTTCAAGGTGCTTTATTTGCAACCCCAGCCACAGACTGAGGAAGAAAACAAGGTCTGCTTTACAGTTAGAAAAGCATCAGCTTTAAGTCCTGTCCTACTGCAAACAAAAAGTTGATTTTACAAGATCTGGGCTTTTCAGAGCTACACAAATGAGTCCAGTGAACTGCACTGGAAGTAGTTCCACTTGCCCTTGCTATCGACAAACCCACAACAACATAAAATCTCATTCTTCTGGCCTCAGCTTTCTCCAACTCATACAGTCCTCTGAGCAAGATGTTCCAGACCCAATGGCAGCTGAGCACACACAGAGCATTCCTTTCTAAATTAATAACATTCTACCGAAAGAAAGATGACCTTCCACAGGCGTCTGCTAAATCAGATTTGGAACCTCTACTGACCCATCAAAAACTCATGGTCATTAGAGCTGCAGTGCAAAGGAACCTCGCAACTGTAATATTCTGCCAACCATTCTTCAGCTGAGAAATCAGAGAGATGCTATCAGCTCCACATTCCTAAGGATCTTACCTGTGCACACATTTGTTCTGATTCCTCCATCTGCATTAACTTGCGCTGTCTGAACTTTTTTCCTGACAGAACCAAATTCATCCATTTAATGAAGCTTGGACACCTGCCTAAATTAACAGACCGAGACAGCTGGGTGCATATTACAGCCAGTACCCACTTCTTCTCAAAAGAAAGAGGATTCTCAGCATTTCCTCAGACGTGGAGCAAGACACAGAACAGCAGCTTGACTGTCTCACAGCTCTGTACCAGAGCAGCCTACTTTCCTAGACAAGTAACTCCCCCTAATCACTGGATCTAAAGATTTTTCCAAAACCACTCCAAATAGGCAAAAGTTTGGCTTAAAGAATTTAAAGATATTTTTAAAAGAACCTAAACACACAAGAGTCATCAGACAAACCTGCACTGGTTCTAAAATTTGATGAGTTCACAGCTACTGCTGAGCACTCAGGTAGTTTTCCATACCCATTCTCGTGTCTCAGATACACTAATACTTATACCATGACAAAACAAAACACATGGGTAACATTTGAGCTAGGGAACTATGTGACTCAAGCAAGGCACAAACTGTACAGTCACAACAGGAAAAATGTTACCAAACAAGTCCCAGCTAAGCTCCACCAAACATGAATTTGCATTATGGCAAAACTCTGACCACACTACTGTGGAAGCCCCAACTCTACTCTTGATTTTAAAAGTGTGAGAACAGGAAATTAAGGGCTACATGATATTTCCATACTCACCTTTTGAAAGCTAGGTTCAACAGCTTTAATAAAGAAACAGCTCAAAAAACCTACTAAAGGAGAAATTATATATGGTCTTTTCAGTATAGAACTGCAATGTAAAAAGGTCATTATCTGATATAAGCAAGTAAGAAGCATTGCTAGGCAAGGCAAAGTCCTGTGCAAGATCAAAACGCATATACAGAGACTAAGTCACAAAAAAAAGTTAAAAAATAACTAGTATTTACCCTGCCTTTCCTTTCTGTAAAGCTTACTCTGAAGTAACCTAAATTATTTTACATATACATGCAGTAAACAGAAGACAGTCCAATAACTATTGAAACGTGTTTATATTTTTAATTAATCACATATGCACAAACAGATTTAAGGTTACAAAATAATAATGAAGCCAGTTGCTAAAGTATTTAATTTAAAACTTAGCAAGGTCATCAGTGACACTGTAAGGAGTGGTGCTGTTGCCACAAGATTCCCTCAGGATTCAAAAAATACTCCGTTCTCAGAGCAATAACCAAAACAACACGCATTTGCAGTATCTCATGGTCATTTTTCACATGGGTTGTCGTCTTTTACTGATAAGATCCTACTCAGCAGTATAACCAATCCACAGCTGAAGGTGGAAATAGCGCAGAGTAAGAGAGGGACGTTGCAAAAACCAGAAGGCGTGCATGAACCCTCTCTCTAACGAATGGAAATCATGACTCTCCAAAAGAAATCAATCAAGAACATGCTTGCCACTTCATATGATTAGCTCAAATTAAATCAGTCAGCCTTATGTTCATGTAGTTACAATTAAAACTCCTGCATAGCCTAACAGATAAACACAACACGGCACAAATGCTATTATCGATTTCCCAAGGCTAAATACACCGCAGGGCAGCACTTTCTCATTGCACTCTTCACACTTCACCACAAGATGGCAATGCCTGCTACCAGCACACTAGAGGTCACTCTCCTAGACAAAATACCTCCACCCCACCACAAAGCCTCACACTCTTGTAGTCAGTTTTAAAGACAAGACAGAAAAGGGGAACCAAAAATGCTTAATCCCACATTAGGAACAGATAAAGCAACTAACTGACTGGCCTTCTCAACAGCGACAAGAACTATGTGACCTTACCTTGTGTCGGAGATTGCCTTTGCTGCTTTCGTATAATGAAGAGAATGGGCTCCTGAGCATGCAGGAGGATGTACTCCACTCCAACCATCTGGCTGAAAGAGAAGCAATCTGAATAAATACCTTCCCCAAAGTAAATCTGTAGGATGTGAAAGGCCACCAAAGGGCCTGGCAGTAAAGGGATGAAGTTTAGTTGCTTTGGAAGCTTTTCAATATAATGTACGGTAAATAAAGGCACAGGATTTCCTGAGCTAGCTATCAAAACCTAGCTGCGTATACAAAGGGAATTACAACACGTGACACAATATTTCAGTAGAACATGTCAGCAGACAAATGAATAACTAGACAGATAACACAATCTATCATACAGATGTCATTTAAACACGGAAACAAAGGGCCAGTGTACTTTGTGACCATCAGTCTTTCTTCTGATGAGAAAGCCTCTCTGCGGTCACATCTGAGCACAAGTGACTTCACCAGTGAACTTTTCACTCAGCTTGCACACTCTCCATCATACTGTGGAGTCTTTAAATAGTTCTCAGATACCTCACTTGTGCTCACTGTGGCAGATGGGGAACTGCAAAGAAAGTTAACTTGCGCATGCTGCAATCTCATTGCGCAACCATCTGCGATCGATTTATTTACAACACTCACTTCTTTTATTATCCATGCTAAAAAGCAAGCTCTTTGGAGAAATTATCTACTAATTATGGCACACAGCCAGCAGGATACGGAGAAACAAACTGTTTATGAACTCAAAATATCCCCTAACATAAACCTTATTCACCATGGAAAAAACATTTAACTATATTAAATGAAAAATATTCAGCTACATTTCCATCACTTGGGTTCTGTGAGCTGGGAAGATGAGGTGAGAAGAGAGCTTTTCTAATTCAGAGAAATATCTAGAAGGTGATTTACTGGAATCTCAGGATATACATAGAATCCTTCATGCTTAACTTCTCCTTGAAATGGTGTAAGAGGAAGCAGGAGATATCCAAACACAAAAACAGCTGGGCTCCCTGGCAAGCGGTGGGACTAAAAAGCACAGAACAGAAGGAGGTTCCCAGCACGCTTCCATTCAGCCAGCAAAGCCTCTGGATGAAGGGACAAAGGACACTGCACAAGAAGCCATTCCAAATCACAACTTACTTCAAATGGTCCAAGGTCATCCGCTGCATTTTGACAACTTCATTGTTACATGTTCGGTCATAGAACGGGTTACTTCGCTCCGAGAAATAGTCCAACACGCTCCCATTGTTCAATATTGGAATCCAGGAGCTGTCAACCCAGGAAATTCCCAAGAGGTTATCTGGGAAGAAAAATCCACGCTGAGTACAAAGGAACACTACAAATACCTCCATGACTAAACTGCCACCAGCTAACGATTATAGCAGGGGAAGGAGGCAGAACACAAACCAGGTATCATTAAAAATGTGTTTCACAGAGTTCAAAGAATGACTGATATCCTTTAACCTTCTGCAGTTCTGTTGTAGGTACACAATAGAAATATGGTCTTTTTTATTATTGAACTTTTCTTTCCTTGACCACCAGCTGCTGGTATACCTGTCACAGTGTGAGCAGGGCCTGTGTGCACATGTGTGTGTGTTAATTGGTGGGAGTTAATTAGCTCTGATACCGTATACAATGTTATTATACATCATCAGTACTATTATAGTTTATTTTATGAAACAAAGCATTAGCTGAGCAGAAAGACATGGTTCCTTCTTGAAGCTAGGTCTCTGGTAAACTGAATTTACTAAACTAAGTTAGAATCTGTTTCAAAGATTATTATTTTCAATGTGGGTGAAAGCTATAATAAACAAAAAAAACCCCAAAATGGCAGACACAAAGATACTACCTTTGCACAGATGTTTCCCAGTTGCCTTGAACAAGAGATTCTATTCCTGACTCTGCAATTAATCTGCCAAATTGCCTGCAGCAAATTACTTATTCCACAACTCAGTGGATTACAGAGATCTAACTACAGAGCATTAACAATTATATAAGAAAGCAAGCTTTTTAAATGAAACATACTCTATAACCTGCAAATCATTATATGCCAGTTAAATTCCGACAGATTTTGGGACAGCTGAATGAAAATCCCTGCATTTTATTATCACACTGCAGCAAAATTATGTTCATCAAGCAGATCAAAGAAACCAGCATCACCAATTGGTTCCACAGTCAACAGATCTGCTACCGCTGAAGATCCATGAGGCACCTTGAAAAGCACCCTGAAATTCATCCATTTTAAACTGCAGCAGCAGCAAATAGAATTTCCGATACGCAAGCAGGAAACAAAGGCATGCGTTGTTTAGAATTAAAAAATGTAAGTGCTGAGAAGTCACTGAAGACTGAGCGACGAACTGAAATTCCCTTCTCGCAGGAGCCATTCCCTTATGTTCACGCATTATATACGTACCCAGAACTCCCACTTACCATTCCGCTGTGAATATTTTACTTCTGCAACAACTCTGCATGCTCTAGGATGACTGGATCAATTCCAACAGTGGCAGCTCATATACTATTAACAGCTTCTCTGAGGAACGGTTAATAGAGTAACACTAGCTGCCCAGCAAACCAGGAAAAATGCAGCATAAATAGTAATGTGTAAATCATTTTGCCTTGTTACTCTCAGAATTGCCAGCCTAGCTCACAGAATGGGGCAGGGGAAGTCTAGAGACATTCATGTTATTTCATATACATGATTATATCTCCTTGCTACAAAAAAAAGGAAACCTCAGGAACGCAGCACTAAGATCCATTATTAAGCACTTAAGCTGTGGCAGCGTTGATTATCCTAAATGCCTTCCAAATCAAGAGACAAGCTTTCCTTCCCAACAAAACCAAAACCTTAAGTGCTTGCACTCTTGCCATAATAAATTATCCTATTACATTTCAAACACAAACTTTTCTATGATCAACAATAACTACATTTCTCAAGAGGAATGTCAGGCAAGCTTGAGATATGGGTATGTATATATGTAACTCACTATAATGCTGTACATAGACTGATAAACATACTGTAAAACAGGATATAAAGTTGGGCTCTAAGGCTCAATTATCCATAGCTGCTCAATGCCAGTATTTATAACTGCCTCTGTGATTAGAGTGTTCTCCTAAAGTATTCTGGGAAAAATGGGGAGGAAGAACAAAGCCAACCATGAACCTAACATGCCTGTTATCCCCACTCAGAAGGGAGTGCTTCTGTTTATTTTGGGTGTGAGAAAGAAAGGAGGGTGTTCCTGCATCCCTGTTCCTTTCAAAAATGGGACATCTCATTCAAAGACTTTTTTGTGGAATTCGCATCACGGATGCAAAAGTAAAGGAACTTGTGACAATACCACCAATCTGCCATGAATGTAAAGACAATTTGGAAGACAAGCCAGCAAACTATGGCAAAAAATGAGAGGAGAGCAACTGACACAATGTGCTCTACCTGGCCTTGCTGGCTTTAACAAACAGATATTAACAATAAAATAGTTTGATAGCCTAAAAATATCAGTATGACTCCAATCGTACTTCTTTCCTTTCTCATGCCCTCTCCCTCTCTCAAACTCTACACGGTAACTTAGCCTGTATTTTCTTTACAATGTAAGCCTTTCTTAATACTTCATTCAAATATAACCCCTTCTTCAAAACAGTCTCTCTTTCTATTCATATCTCTGAATTCACACCCAAACCTTTCTTGTTTTCTGTTACTTCAGCTTCCTTCCTGGCTTTTCTAACACCTGGCCTGCCTCATCACATCCCACCAAAGCTCTCTGAAGATCACCAGCCTAACTCACTGCTTTCATCTCAGGCAAGTCCCACATGTGCCAGTGTTTCCCACTTTCCTCCACACTTCAAAGCACTGAGAGTTCCAAAACTCTCTTTCTCATTGTTCCCTTACGTTACCGGCTCACTCCAGGACCTCCTTATCGACCTGAAAAGGTGTACGAGAAGGGAGGCTGGTTTTCCCCAAGCGGCCCTAAACACACCCCCCCCAACCTGCCCCATGCCCAAGACAACCGCTTTTTGGACAGTTTTTCCTCTCGGTTTCTTCTCATGAAAGAGACTCTCTGTAGAGTTTTCCAAGAGAAACAACCTCGACAGCTTTGTTGCCCCTACAGAACACGAATAAAGGCAGCGGTTTTATCAGCCTCTCACCTACGGCCATACCTCCCCCTCTGGTAACCTGGACGCTCCTTGGAGCGAATGCTACCAGCACAGAGACCTCCAGCCCGCCAGGAC